TGTAAACAGCGAGCAAATTTAATGTAAACATCAAGTGAAATACATCTAACTATTACTTGATTTTAAGTTTTCCTTTTATCAAGAGACTGGCTAATAGAGCAGCTCACTTATTGTTGCTGTGCTGATATTATTATTCTTAGTACTATGAATTAACTAAGTTTTATATATTGTGAATTCATATCTTTATTATATGAATAGTGGAAAATATTGTAACATAAGTTCTCCCAGCTATATCAATCAGATTTCAACCTGTAAACTGTCTCCTTCTATTATAATGTCTATGACAAAAAGAAATCGCTGGTCGCGCTGATGAAAATTTGAATGACGACGGCACTGTGAGAGGAAGTGAGAGGAAACTACAGACGGCAGTTCAGTTTGGTTGATTAATGGTATAATAGTCAATAGATTAATCAGCTAAGCTGAATTTGAAGGGCCCATATCATATTAAACCAAATTTTCCCCACTTTTTTGAGATAAGGCTTTGAGGTAGAATGTAAATATTGTTAAAGTTTTAAAACGTCCCATTCATTCTCAAGTTCATACATTCCATGTAGGGAAACTAAGCTGCAAAACCAGCCCTATTTTAAAATTTTGAATCGTGATGAAAGTCAAGTGCATTTACATTTATCTGCCTGTTCAGTCTACAATACTTTAGCGCTGCCCATTAATTTATAAGGAGTGTTTCAGCCTGGTCTGCTTTTTGAATCAGGCTTAAATACAGGGCAGCCACTCAGAACAGTGTGCATTTACATGCATCAGTCCTAAATGCACTGTATCAAAAACAGCCGGATTAAAGGGCTCATATTCCATGTTTTCCTTGTGTTTTTTGACCCCGAAGTCCAATTCAAAGGTAACAAAGACAAACATTAATGTTTACATGACCAACCTCTCTTTATCTCTTAGAATTAAACAGGATGTTTTTGTTACTGTGACTTTGAGACTGATATATGTAAATGAGCTCTATTCTCTATTAATTGTCCTGTGTTGTACCTTATTGTGCCATAAAGCAGTGAGGACTGACTGTCTTTAAACTTCAGTGTGAATGGGTGGAGCTAAACAGCTAAAGGCTGATTTGGCATAAACAAATGGTTTTCATGAATTCAAAATGGCCTATTTTTGCAATTCTTTAACAATGTTTACATATTACAGCAAACTTTTGGATTTAAAAATAACAAATAAGGAAAATTTGGTTTTCCATGATATGGGCCCTTTAATTCTGAAAGATAAATAGAGGTTGGAAAATTGTCATGTTAAAATAAATTGCAACTGTTTCTTGTAGATAGAGCAAAATAAATTACAAGAAGAATACAGGAAAAATGCAAAAATACGGAAAATAGAGATAGAGATAATCATTAGTTAGTAACATGTTACTGAGTTTTATCTGTGAATTCTGGGATTCTGTGGTGTGAGACGCTGCTGCATTCATTTGTTGTGTCCATAGTACGTGTGTGTGTGTGTGTGTGTGTGTGTGTGTGTGTGTGTGTGTGTGTGTGGTTGTGAGTACGTGTGGGGGTAGCCCACCACGCTGCAGCAGGGACACAGAGACAGGCGTCTTCTCAGCCTCCTCCATCCATCACTCCCCACCTCCATTACCTGCAGCTAATCAGGGCTTGCAGCAAAGGCACCTCCATTCCCTCTTTCACTTCCAATCCTGCAGGAGCTGCATCCCTGTTACAGCCTGAGCAGAGGTTGCATGAGGACAAAGGGACAGAGACTTCTTAAATGGCCTCACGTAGCAGGCATTTAAACGTCTCATTCGTAAGGAAAGGCAGCGGGAGTGCTGAACGAACAGTTTGAACCGTCATGGCTGGAATGTTTAAAGGGGCATTTGAGTTAAGTTTGGGCTCGGCTCTCTGTGATAAACAGCTCAACTGATGCTGTAAACCCAACCAGCCAAAAGAAGTGCTAAAATTAATAAGATAAAGTCAGCGACATACAGAGCTCCAGAAAAGAGAATTAAAGTATTTGAAAGCGACTTAAAGATTTATTTCTTTTACACGGCTGCTGATGGGTCAAATCTCTTCGAGCTTAGAGGTGGGTGACAACCCAGAGACTGCTGTAGAGAACCGGGCTCTGATTGATCCGTCTCCTCCCTCCGTTCTCCTTAATTCGCAACATGAGAGAGAATCCTAACATGCACCCCAAATGACAATTTCATTACTTGTTGTTGAACAGAAATGTGCTGTGCAGTTGCTTTTTTTCAGGGAGATCCTCTTAAGCAGAAGCATAAAGCTCTTAATGAACTTAGACCTCATTTTTTTCAGTTTTGCATAATGTGGCCTTGCAGATTGTGACAGTGTGACAAATTGGCATGGAATGGGCAGCATGTGGATTTTTTGCTAAGCAGATCATTGCTTTGGGTTTTTATCTTCAGTAAAGTGTGCATGTGAGTGTGAATGTGTGAATGAGCAAGGGGGTCTGTGCTTGTTGATCTTCACAGGGTTAATAGAGTGCAATTTATTCTGAAGGGCTGATGAAGTTACCATGAGTTCACTGAATTTCTCCCATGACTAATCCAGCCTCTTTGTAATTCACATGCTCTTGTACTATAGGGCACATGAGGCTTGAAGGTTTGTGTTCCGTAACATTTTAAAAGCTGGGTGCATGGGAAGTCAGTCATTCTGGCAATCATGTAATGGGAAAACCCCATATGGGGGAGGTTGAGTGTGAAATAGTAACATGTGGTGCCATAATTTATCTATCAATGTTTCACAACACAGAGGTTGGCAAATAGCCAAACAAGGACTAAACACTGTAAAACAGTCACGGTATTGTAGATATCATATTAAGGCATATGCAGTGTGTTCTCGTAGTCACAAGAAATGCAATCTTTTCTGGTTACAATTTAAAACTGGGATGCAGTGAATTGGTAATAATTGGGGCTGCAAAAACTGATTCACATTATCAATAACATTGATAATAAGAAATCAGTTGTTATTGAATAGTTGCCTGATAAAGGTTGTGCTCCTCACTTACTTGATTTAACAGAGGGAAAAGACAGATGGTGGACACTGCAGTATGGGTTTATGCATAACTAAAAAACAAATATATAGAACATTTCGTTCTAACATCCTGTAAGAAGACACTTTTATAAATTTATAGATTTATAAAACTGAGCCCACCTATGATGGCAGTGTGACTGACATGAATGAAGATCTAGAAAAAACACATTTGCGACAGAAAATGACAAAGCTCATCATGGTTAAAACTTTAGTCAAGGGCTCCCGAGTGGCGCAACCGTCTAAGCGTTGGCCCTATCATCAGGAGATTGTGAGTTCGATCCCTGGTGATGCTACAGCCATCCGTAGCCGGGAGTCCAAGAGAGCACAGTTGGGTGGGTAGGATGGCCCCTCCTTCTCCCCCCATCACTCAGCGCGATGCTAGTCAGCGCAGGCGTCTGTTAGCTGACGTAACAGAACTGGCGGTTGGCGCGTTCCTCCGAGCGCGTTCAGCTGTCCAATGACTTTGCGTGAGCGGAAGTTCAAAAAGATGCGGTGGATGGCTTCACAGGTCTCGGAGGAAGCCTGTGTTAGCCTTCACCCTCCTAGCGTTGATAGTATCGTGTGATTGGGGTAATCCTAACTAGCGGGTAGAATTGGGGACGACTAAATTGGGGAGATAATTGGGCAAAAATCCCCCCCAAAAAAAAAAAATAAAACTGTAGTCAAAACTTACAAACCTTATTCGTTGCTAGTGCACTAATGCACACAGACTTGTGCTCATGCGTACGGATATGGATATTTTTGGAAAGTGTACTTTTTTTCTGTTTTCACCTCCCGCCCACATGAAAATGGTATCTTAGGTCCCTGAAAGTTAAGCTTTTGGAAAATGCTCTCTAGGTTAGAGATTCCTGTGTCACATGATGTTACAGACCGCAAAAATAATTCATGTTTCATTGCTTTATCATTAGAAGAGAACTATTTTGAATGGCAATGTGAAGTTCTTGTAGAATCAAACTGTCTCCTTAATATTACTTGGACTGCTATGTAAGACGTATTCATGCGTTGTTCCATTATTATTTCTACAGCTTTCACGCAGAGTAAAATGGTGCGTTTGAGGACAGTGCAGAAGATCTTTTGGCATTGTTGATCTTGATAAAAGTATGACTTAGAAGATAGGTATTTTAATTTTGTGCAAAAGAAGGAATAATCCTTGTATTTTTAATTTGTTGAAAGAAACATTGTTTACATGTAAGGTTTAGTTATTAACAGACTACTGGCCACACTTTTCCTAAATTAATAAAAGCCATAATGAACCAATTAATCACTTATGGAAATCATCGTTAGTTGTAGCCCTAGTAAGTAGAAGCTAAGAAGTTATAAGGTGTGTTTCAGAGTGGACTGCTTTTTGAATCATGAGTCAATCAGAACAGAGGACATTTACAAATGTCAGTCTCAAAGGCAACTGTTTATTTCTAAGGTATAAAGAGAGGTTGAAAACAGTCATGTAAAATTAAATCAACAACAGTATTTGATCAGTATTAGCATTTGAATGATTGAAAATACAACAGTGTAGTAATTATCCTATGTTTCGGTTTAGCAACAGTAAATTAAATCAAATTGTAAAAAGTAAAAGATGTGTTCAATAGCAAAGCTCCTGAACCTGTATAGTGTCATCTATTATTATCCATATTTGTACTTCAATATAATACATTTAAAATATCTATATTGGGGTCTAGAGGTGTTGATCCTTGATATTAGCCCAGCTCTTTTCATATCAATGCATGTTGAATTTCTAATTCTCCTGGGTGTTATTTATTTGTATTTTTTTGCAGTCCTTCCTAGTATTATGTTGGTGGCATTGAATCTTATACATCCAGGGAAGCCCAATTTAATTTCATCCTCTCAATCATATGAGCCTTATCTCTCTGTCACCCAGTCGCAGCTCCTTTTGAATCTGAAAGCCGAGAGCCAGCGCCATTCATCATTCAACCACTCGGCCCTCTCTGAACCCTCTCTCTTCTTCTTTCTCCCTCTCTCTTTTCTCCGCTCTCCTCCTAGGGCCGCTGCACGCGTGATAACTGCAAGTACCTTCACCCCCCACCACACCTGAAGACCCAGCTGGAGATCAACGGCCGCAACAACCTAATCCAGCAGAAGACCGCAGCCGCCATGCTGGCCCAGCAGATGCAGTTCATGCTGCCTGGAGCCCAGCTACAGCCCATAGTGAGTCCACCTTTTCACACCTAATGTCTTCTACCTTACAGTACAACTAATGTCTTAAAAGTAGCATCCCCTCTCCTTTCCCTCTCTTCTTTGCTTCTTCTTTCTGTTCGTCCACGTCAGACCTCGTTCCCAGTATCTCCCTCATTGGCTGCCAGCCAGAGCGTGGCGTTCAGTCCCTACATGGGTCACGTGAGCCCTGGCATCGGCCTCATGCCCGAGCTGCTGCCCAGCGCCCCCGTGCTGGTCCCGGGGAGCCCCACTGGCATCACCATGGGCAACGGAAACTCCACGCAGAAGCACATTCGCACAGACAAGCTTGAGGTACTGCTCTGGGCACTGATCTCTGTCTCATCAGTGTGTTGTGTAAGATCAGAGCCATGTGTCAGCATTACATAATAGTAAGAGATTGGCAGGTCATTGGTTGAAATAATGAAATAGTGACGGTGTATGGAAGCAGTTCAGTTGCATTGATTTTGTGGGTTATAATCGAATCGATTATAATGATACTCAGTAATGTGTGCCAGAAAAAAAATTCTGAGCCTATTTTCAACTGTAAATCCTAAAATAATAGCTTAGTGTATTTATTTTATTGTTTATATTCCACTACTATGCAAATCGTTCCTCCAGTCATATGTGTATAGTTAAAAAATTGTATTTTTAAAAATAGTTCTGAATCTTACACAGAGGTGGACAGATATAAAAATTTGTACTCACCGTTCAGACCAACAAGCCAATGAATCTTGTGGCCAGAATTATTGAAACGTTTTTATATCTGTGTATATATTGTATTTACAATTAACAAACATGCTTCAGTACCAACAAACAGTTGAACAAAGCTGTAGGTTTTTGCGATCAGTCCTCTATATCCACATTTTTTTTTCGTAATACCAGTCAAACCAAAGAATCGTCTTTTTCATGATACACTCAGCCAGACTGTCCCGCCTCCATCTTCATCAGACTTCATCAGTTGGCCTTATTACTCTGTTCTGTTGTTTGGGTTGTGGAAGGTTTTTAGTGCAGCGTTCATATTACAAGCCGTAACAGTGCTTCTGAATATTGTGTTTTCTAGTTGAGTTAATCCAAGTAAAAATGAACTTGTATTGTCAACTTGTTGTGGCAAAAGATGACATGCTCGACAGAATATCACATCCTTCTTAAAATCATACCATAGTCATAACGGCAGGCTATCAAGAAATGTTCAGTGTTCTAGAAAGAACTTGTCCCTTGTAGTCACATAAGTAAACGTTACAGTCTGATTTGACGCAGTTCCGTGTCCGACCAAATATACTTTGGATCTTGTGTGTGAAAAGTAGCTGGTATTTGTGAATGTGTCAAAATTCAATTAAAAATTCAATTTAAAGAGAAAAACACAGAAAATCTCCAAGGCTCTGCATTTTTAGCAGCCAAAATGTGAAATGTTGTGGCCATGGGCACCGAGCTGTAGGCAGTGTCATCCCTTGATCTTGTGAAACTAATCAAATCTAATCAAATCATTATGAAATGTGAGCTTTCATTATGCATTAAATTGTTTCCTGAAGAGCCATAACTGAACTGAATCACTACGATCTAAAGGATTTTTGAAATGTGAATCTTACGTAATTTAGATGTTGAGAAACAAAGTCATTCAGAGCATTTTAATGTGAAATAGTGCATTGCAAAGAAAATGACAGACTCTTTAAAATTTCCAATTTCTTTACAATTGATCAGTTCAAGTATAGCCATTTTGTTTGTTATTTAAAACAACCTGTGAACCTACATGTGTTTTCATATTTTTTGTATGCGGTGTTAATAATGGTAACTTAATTATGATAAATTTGAATAAAAATAGGGTTTATATTGATACTATTTTTGTGTTTCAATACCCTACAGGTGCTTCTCCACTGTGGAGATATTTTAAAAATAGCATTTTAGGCCAAAGCCATGTCTCAAAACTGCCGTAAAACAGTGTCCCAGACATGAGGCACTTGTAATCATTTCATATAATAACTTTGTGCAATATAACTTTTAGTGGCTTTAAACGCTTCAGATGTCTGGTTCCTATCACCACCACTGTGAGCAATTCTGAGTTGGTTTCTCTAGAATGGGGCACTTCACATCTAAATGATTTTGTTTACTAATGTAACAATTGAATTACATGGAAACAGGTGGAATTCCTATGTAGGGCTTATTATACAGTAACTACTGTGAATTATACACCGACTGCTATGAAGCTAGTATTTAAGGTATGTAGTTGTGAGAGGAGTAGAAGTCTGGATGGCTTCTTAGAGTTTAAGGGGTTAAGTATGTCAAATTGTGTTTGAAATACCATGAAATATGTGTTTAAAATACCATAAAATATGTGTTTGAAATACCTCACCTGCGTGATCCACTTCCCAGGTGTGCCGAGAGTTTCAGCGGGGAAACTGCACACGGGGCGAGAACGACTGCCGCTATGCCCACCCATTGGAGGCAGCCATGGTGGACGGCAGCGAGAATTCGGTCATCGTTTGCATGGACTACATCAAAGGTCGCTGCAGTCGTGACAAGTGCAAATACTTCCACCCGCCAGCGCACCTGCAGGCCAGGATCAAGGCAGCCCAGCACCAGGCCAGCCAGACCGCCGCTGCAGCAGCCATGGTGAGACGGAGACAGCATCACCTGCTGTACTTCACCTCTCAGACCTACAGGGTTTGGCATAAGCATCAAAATGGGAAAAAAATTATGCATCCATAGAAAATGTGGTATTTGAAACATCAGTTCTAGTATTATTTAAAACATCAGTTCTTTCATACCAAATGTCAAATTGAGTTGTCATTACTATCAATATGTGTATTGCACATTGTGAATACGAAGTCACAACCCGTTTCTTAATTCATTAGGTAATCATATGTGATTGCTTCAAGGAGCACAAACCTAATCAGTATGTGCATTAGCTAATTCAGTAATTACAGAGTGATATCTAACAGGCGAGAGCGATATATGAGCACTCTCGCTGGAAAGCTGTGTCTTCTTGGCAGTTCAAGAGGTGCTTTCCACATACTAATACAAAAATGAAAGTGCTTGTCAATAGTTTCTAATCAAAGACCAATTTATCCCTTGAGAACACGTCAAATTTCTCATAGCAGCTACAGTTAGATATTCTTTAGAAGCATCACATGAAGGTACACATATGTATTTATAACTCTGCTTTAACAGACCCTGTGTATGTGAGCATGAGGAGAGTGTTTAATAATTCAGAGACCCTGCAAGGCTGTATGTGAGAGAGAGAGAAAGAGAGAGGTAGGGATTGAGAAGGAATGGCTGGCCCTTTATCTTCGCAGTGATGTATAGAAACTTCTGGCTGTGTGATCAGTTATACACACCAACTCTGCAGTGCAGGTGCAGGCATAAAGGAGGGAAGAAGAGAGTGAAAGAAAGATAAAGCAGAGAAAAGGAAATGGTGCAACAATAGCTAACTGCCTCCCCCCTTCTGCATGCAGCTGTTTCGCTGCAGTGTGCTCTCTCTCGCATGACATGAGTGCTTGTTCTGTGTCCTCTGCAGCGCTTGCAGTGTTTCAGTATCGCAACAGCCAGTATTTTGCGTCTTTTTCACATTAGTCTTCTTTTATTTTTTTGAACAGGTTTGTTGAAATGTTGTGTCATGCTCCAACCTTTGCTTGCCGTAGTATCGTTTTGTCTGTATCCCATTTTGCTTTCATTTAGGCTATGCTATCTTTTCTCATACTGCCCATTGTGTCAGCCATTCATTGATCGACTGATGTTTGTGCCCTGTGTTGCCCCTAACGCCCTCTCTCTCTTTTTTTCATCCTGTTTCTACATTATTCACAAACATTTCATCACAGCTGACACCATCCCCACATTGGTTACAGTCTTGTGTGCCTTGTGTGTGTATGTGTGTGTTTTGTTTGTCTATCTTCATTGATTGGTTTGCTGTCGTCATGCGCTCACTGCCTGCTAACCCAGCCGCAGCCTACAGCACGTCCTCTGAAGCGCAACCTGCAGCCAGCCCCTGACCTGGTACTTTTGACCTCTCTCCCTTTTTTTTTTTATCTTTTTTTTTAACCTCATTTCCTATTGACTTTTTCCACTGCTAAACACTTGCTCATATATGCTCCATGCTCATTTAAGCATGACTTTCAATAGCATAATTATCCTTCAGAATGATATAACCAGCTTGGCTCAGCCTTATATACAGCAACTAGAGCCTCACAATTAAATATTTATGTTGCAGACTCGGCATGTGCACAGTTTCATAATTGCAAAAGGATTTAGTTTTGTTTTTTCTTTTACATCTCAATAAAACTCATCATGGAGCAGAAAGCTGTTTAGCATTAGGGCATTATGACATCCGGAAACACTAGTGAATGTAATAGACTTCTGTAGGCTTGGTAATGGTTAAATGAGTTACTGTGGTATATTTCTTGATTCATCTCATGCAAACCATTGCAGGACACCAGTATTTCCATATGTAAAAATAACACGTTGGGTGATGTGATATCCTACATTAATACCTCATTTATTGTACCAAACATAAATTAGGTTATTCTAGAAACACACCGGTTGAGCTTGAGCATGATAGATATCATACCTGTACAAAAAAGGCACCTACATGGAGCAGTGAATATTTTAGGACAACCTCATACTAGGCGTCGGCACGAGACCCGTTTTTTAAATCCTGCTCCCGCAATATTTTATCCCGCACCCGCGGAAACTCATCTGGCTTCCCCCTGCACCCTAAACGTTTTGTCCTGCTCCTGCCTGCAGTCACATATAGCTGGTTTCCATCTGCATTAGTCAGTATTGAAAATGACTGCCATATGTTAGATGTGCCTTTAGTTGGCTGTGTTTTCGTGTATTCGCCTTTATTAAGAGTACTTTCCACAGCTGTGGCGGCCTGACTGTCTGAAGGCTCTGCCTGGCTTCACAGCTATTTACAATGAGTTTATTAATTTTTGTTATTTTGCTGCTGTATGTAAGTGATTATAATTTTATTTAGGCTATTTATCTTGTACAGTCAGGCTAAGCCAGTGGTCTCCAACCCTGGTCCTGGAGAGCTACCTTCCTGCAGAGCCTAGTTCCAACCACAGTTTGCCACACTTGCTCAAGGTAATCAACCTCTTCTCAAGTCCCTGATTGGCTGATCAGATGTATTAGAGTTAAGTAACATCTTATTACACAGCTTATTGTGTATAGGTTGGAACTAAACTCTGCAGTAAGGTAGCTCTCCAGCACCAGAGTTGGAGACCACTGGGCTAAGCTAGGCGGCCACAGACACCATGGCTTTGGACGGTTTGTGGGACATTAGCAATTTCATTCTTTCCTTGCTCATTAATATTTAGTACGTTAATTACATTTATTAAAGAGAACAGTAGTCTACAAACACAACTTTGCTTTATAATATTCTTTTAATTGACAAAGTTAATGGCTCACATGCTATCACTGTGTTTGGTCTAATATCTGCTTCAATGTCAGGGCCCATCTCAAAATTACAGGAAGAAAATGTGATTATTATTATTATTATTTCTACTACTATTAGTTGTATCTCAGTGAGATGTCTACTAATAGTTCTGGTCACATCATCAGTGATGTTCCAGAAGGTCTCAGCAGATGTGCTTACAGAGATGACAGTAGTAGCTACACTTTTTCTTCCAGTAATTTTGAGACGGTTCCTAACTCTGAAGTCGATGCAGGAGCAAACACAGTGATAATGTGTGAGCTTAATTGTCAAATAAAGGGTGAAGCACATGTATCAAAAAACCCAGAATCCATTTAACAGTTTACCGCAGTTATTTTCCACACGGCTATGCAAACAAGAGGATTCTCTTGCCAGCACAGACCTAGACATATACGTTGTTTGCAGTATAATTGCACAGTGATTTATATGCCCATATGGTGCAGCCTGTTTATTACACAGCATGTATATTACAGCTTGTTTGATTGTTTGTTTGTCATGCTATAGTGCCATGCTGCTTGAGTATAATGTCTTTAGTATGCAGATTGCCATTGTGCAAATTAAATGAAGTAGCCACATAGTTCTATAATGAGCTAAACATAACACTGTCTTTGAACGTAATACACAGGGCACAGATGCCAGTAACAGCCGAGTAAGCATTAAATTATTCAGATGAGAGTATTTCACTTTTAATTATTGCTGAACTCATATTCTTGTCATAACCTGTTGATATCTCTCTCGCTCTCTCCCTCACGCTCTCTTTCCCTCGTTCCGTCTCCCCTTCTTCTCTCCCTTAAGGCCCTGCCTCCAGGGACCATGCAGCAGCTACCAAAGAGGCCCACCCTGGAGAAGAATAACGGGGCAGCAGCCGTCTTCAACCCCAGCATGTTCCATTACCAGCAGGCCCTGGCCAGCATGCAGCTGCAGCAGCCAGCCTTCATCCCTACAGGTGAGCCTCTGCAAGAGCGCTGTCATCTACTCAGCCTGGGGCAGACTCCATCCACATTCAATTCACTGCTTAACATTTTTTACACTGCATAGCTCAGCTGCAAGGGCAGCTTAAATTGGGAAAAAAAAATAGGCCTAGCTCTTCCTTTGCTTGTCCTCTTTCTCCCTTTTTGCTCATGCAGTCTCTATGTCTCTTGGTAGTCCACTCTGCGCACGTCATGCTAATTGGTCCCCTGTAACATGCACACTGAACCTTGCCATCTCTTGGTGCTCCATTGCATTACATACTTACAATCAGATACTACAATGCATCTGTTGACTATATAAACTAAAGCTGTCAAAGCTGAATACTCTCACTGACCCAGTGGTAAGTGAAGGTATTTCAAAAACAACTATTTCTCTACAAGTCTTAATTAGCATGTAAGTAAATATTAGTCTACAAGATATTTGTCTATATAAGTAGGATAATATTTTAATAGTGCTTTTTTCTATAATTAGACAAAAATGGTCCTTTTATTCTTAGTCCAGCAGAAAAAAAGGAGCCCTACAAGTGATCCATATTTCCAGCCCTCTCCTCATAGTTTTCTCTGGCCCTCAGCTGGAGTGACCCACGCTTTGCACCATCTCTGTGCTTTGTGTCTGTGTCTGCTGTCCAGCCTCCATGTTGTCAGTATGGCCCTTGGTGGCACACTAACCTTGTTGTTTTGTCTCGTCCTCATGTCGCTTCCTCCGTCCCGTACATTCCCTTCTTCCTCTTTTGCTTCTCCACCCCTCCTCTTCCTCCTCCTTGCCCTGGGCTCTGTGTGCATGGCGTGCCAGGCTCCGTCCTCTGCATGGCTGCATCTGGAGGTATTGGTAGGTTCCTCATGAGTCCCTCTGCTCCACAAGTTGTATTAGTGGAGTGCTGAAGCTCTATGCCAGGCAGGAGAGACAAAAAAGCTCTCATATCCCCCATATAAGAAGAAGGAACTTGGAACGAGTAATGGCATGCAAACCAAGGTTCAAGTGCGTTTGTTTAGCTGTCCAAATGAAATAAGGCAGAAGGTGGTAGGGTATGAATGAAAAACATTTATTATAAAATGGATACTTCTTATTCTAAATTCCAAACAAGCCACATTCAAAGGTATTGTGAAATATATGATATAAGCATACGTGACGGCACATATCAGTTGAGATTTGTACTAATGCACCAAGATAAAAGCAAAAGCTCAAAATTAAGTAAACCATTGTAGTTAGACTGTTATGTTATCTAGCTACCCTTTTCTTGGCTAAAGAATTGACTGTTTACAAACTTGATGTATGACACACCTCTCAGCTAGTCACAGCTATCCCTAAGCACTGCTTCCCCTGTCAAGCGAAAGAAAAACTCTGACGGAACTCCTCAGAACAAACTTGGAATGATCATAGCAGTGACCGTAAAGACCACCTAACATAAAGTAAATCCAACAAATCTTTCTCAACTTTAGTTGCAAAAATATTAACAAGCAGTCCTATGCTGGCTCTAAGATAAGCTAACCTTTATCTGGTTTGCAGATATCAAGATCAGTTAGCTAAGTGAATTAAGTTAGCTTTTCTTAACTTTGCTGCTGACAGTTAGCTTGATAAATCAGTCAGATTACAAACTATACAGTGCTCACATTTGTGTAAAGACAAACATTAATGTGCTCACAAACATAATTTCTATTGTTTCATTAAAGTTTAGTGAGAACCTCTTGTATAAAACGACGAGTGCTCCTCAGCACATATCATTGCTTCAGTGACTAGCTTCAGTGAAGTAGTGGGTACTGTATCACTTCATCCCATATATCGGTTGAAATTCTTTCTCAGGTATGAGTTTCATAATAACCGTCTAACAGTAAGCCACAAATAAGCACAGATAACACATTATGTAGGGTACAAACAGTGACAACCATGCTAACATTAGCATGTTTAGCTAAGTGTCTGAGTCATGGATGTTTCGGTCACATTTCAAATGAAAATGCCAGTCCCTCAGTCATCTCCCACTGTCTCATCCATTGCATCCGAAGTAGTCCACTTTTTTGAGGCAGCGTATGTAAAGAAATGGCTGGTTTTCTGGGGTTGGCCTTCGCCTAACTTGGACACCAGGTCGATTGTCGCGATTCTGTTTCCTCTTGTGCCGCCGGAGAACCTGTCTAACTCTCCGGTGGTTTGGCCAGCTGGTACTGAAGCGTGAATGACCATAGTATTTTCCAAATTCCGACAAAGGGACACACATATGAGAAATACCTTGAGAAATTTGACAAAGCTGAATTTGGCTACCTAATTGAGTTGCCCATTCCACCTTAAATGGAGCGGCAATTACATTCAGGTGCTCCATAACTTCTGCTCCATTTAAGGAGGAAAGAAGAATTTGAACATAAGCTGCTACATAAGAAGCCAACTTCTTTTTTAGACGGGAAACAAGATTTATCACCATTTTTGCTGTGCCAGAGCGGCTAATGTTACAAAGCAATATTAACATAGGTTTATCTATGCATTGTTCAATATATATATATATATATATATATATATATATATATATATATATATATATATATATATATACATATATATATATGTGTGTGTGTGTGTGTGTGTGTGTGTGTGTGTGTGTGTGTGTCTGTATGCACCGTGATAGATATATCGAAACCGCTGCTGTTTTAGCATTTAACGTTAGCTTATCCGAAGGGGCTCAAACCTGCCTGGGTTGATAAATGTGGACGTGGTTTCCAGCATCCGTATTTGCTTTAAATTAGCCTTTAAATTACCTTCACTTTATCAATTCCCCAAAAAAAATGTATGTCTCCAGTGAACACCCTGCAAAGCCAGATTATTTTTTAATAATAAAATGTTTTCAGATTGGTTCCTCTGTGTGTTTTGAAAATTTCTTTTGTGCTACTGAGCTTTTAGTCTGTTAGCGCAAGTGTTATGGACGCTAGCAGATAGCTGTACTGAAAGTTTGATGGACATAGCAGCAGTAACTAAGTGAGGCAGAATTTTACAAATGGTCAGTTGTTAATTGCAGTTGGTATATTTTGTCATATTATATTTTGTGGACGTTTTATAAAATTTTGCATTGTGCCTAACAATACCCCATAATCACTCTAACACACAGCCTCTTTTGGCTTATTGCTTTATTAACATATTTTAGTGTTTTTAAAAGCATTTTATTTTTTGCATTTTTATTACTTATTGGCATGTCTCTTTTAATCTATATGGGGGAAGGGGTATGAGTGAATGGTAGAGAGTTTTGAATAAAATAATGATTATTTCATTAACTGGCTATTTCAGCTAGACAGCAGAGCCCTAATCCTGTCCTGTCTGTCACATTATTTGTCACCCAGCTATCTGCTTGCTCTGCTTCTCCTCATTTCTCATTATTTTTGCTTCCTGCACAGTTTTTGAGTTTGTTCATGTATGTGTGCTTGAGTATGAAAGTGATGGCACAGTCTGGGTGCTAGCTAGGCTAAAGTTAGGCCTCATTCCTAATCCATTAAGACTCGTTCCTGTTTGTTTCTTTGTGCTTCTTTTCCTCCCTCACCCCCCTCAAATCTGTTGTAGGGCTTTTCAAACCCCCCGGCTCATTGGCAGAGGGCCGCTGGGAGAGGCGGGACTGGAGCAGCTGCAGGCCCCCCCACAGCCGCTACCTATCAGGGCCCGGACACACTGGTGAGGGTAGAGCTCAGGCCCCCCCACCCCCCTCCCACACACACACACACACACACACACCCCACGCACACCTTACCCATACGCTAATCATGTAGATATATCACCCTGCCACCACTTACTCACTGGCAGGACTGAATCGAGGTCCCCACCAACTAAATCAAACCCGCTCCACAGTTTTTTGTGCCCATAGATGCACTGTATCCCCCCATAGTGGCTCTGGGAGTGGAGTTCACTCTAAAGTCTAAATAACCCTAATATTCAATTAGCTGTGTAATGAGAAGTCAATTGCCCCCTCCAAAATAAGAATTAGATTTTAATCAGTGAGAGTGCCTGTATGTGTGTCTGTATGTGAGGGGAACTGTGTGTCTGCATTTTTGCATTTTGGAGCGTTTAGCATCTTTGATGCTGTTGCTGTTCATGTATCATGCTATATAAGTTTGCTGTCTGTTATTCGATAGTTACTCTTCACTTATATAAAAAAAAGTAGTTCGAACAAACTATTCTGAAAGTCACACGGGGTAAAGTAAAACTTTTGAAGACTTTTTGAAGCGTTGAATTTAGTCAGTGTTACTGTGTATGTTTTGAAATTAAGCAAATTAATTGCCATATTATTTACAAAGCTAGGTCTTTGCTGAACTGCACTGTATGTCTGTCCTACATTGCGTGCTGTTTTTTTTTCTGATTTTCTATTTTCTTTTTGCTTTCTCCAACACATGGTCCAGCTCCATCAAAATACAATTATCAGATGTGCCTGTCTGATTAGATTGTATGATTTTGATGACTTGTCATATTTTTAGTATAATTATAAGCACAGTTTTAGTTTAGATCACTTTTTCTTATTTAGTCTTGCTTTAAAATATATTAGTTGTTTCAAGTTGGTAACACTTTATAATAACAGTTATTTAAGGGCCATGTATGAACCTGGCTTTTTGTAAAAAGTGTTAGTAATAAAGAGTAACAAAAGTATTGAAGTTGAATAAAGGACTAATATACTGCCAAATGCAGTGTGAAGCACAGTAGATACTCCTCATGTCTTTACAGTTGTGTGAAGATCTTACACCAGTAAAGTCACATAGTGGTTGGTGTGGCATAGTGGGTACTGCTGCCCTCTATGTGGCAAGCTGGCGCCTGGGCCAGCACACCATGCTACACTAGTAAGAATCCTTGGGCAAGATGCCTAACGTTACATTCACATATCTGTTCTAAGGGTAAATGTAATGAGATCAGCCAGCAATACAAATACCTTGCTCATATGGAAGACTTCCTCTAGGAATTTTTGAGTGACTGGCCACTCTGCCGGTCATTCTGGCATTTTTAACTAGCCTTCTGTTT